ACTGTCAGCTATGTCTGTCTTTCTACTACTGTTTCTACTTAGATTACACTTGTAGTGGCATGGTATTATCTGTGTTTCAACGTTCAAATTGCTTCTCAGATCTTCATTTATGTTAAATTCTAATGGATGATCAGTGTCGTTAGTTATTAACATTAGTAATAATTTGTAGAAATAATAAATAAAACATGAATTAAATTAAATAGATAGTATACGAAAACAAGCATCATAGATAAATCTTTAATCGTTTAATTAACCGGAATCTAATTTATCATACAATACTCCTACTGCAAAATATGTTTCAACTCTCTGTTTCAGTCGAATAACTTCTTAATTACAAGAGTCAGCAGTATTTTATCACTGCGCAAGATAAGTTTTATCAAGTGCTACAATTGCGTCAGAAATACCTCTGTGCGAAAATATCTAAAAAACATATAACGTGGTTGTTTCTATTTTTAAAGCTACATGTTCCTGGCAATCAAATTCGTCAATTAAGCGAGCACCTGTATATCTCCTGGCTCACGCGCTTGTCTATTGCCGGATGTTTCTACTTGTGCTGATGCGTGCGGAACATTTGATATCAGCGCGGTGTCATTCATTTTCCACAATGATTTAATATAAAGTGGTATTTAGGAGATAATGAGATTGATTGAAAACGTACATTGTCCAACTTGTTTATAAGAAGTGGAAATGACGTGTAAATGACAGACGCATTATCCATTAATGTTCGGGCGCACGTGCACCTGACGAAATATTAAATTTGATTTTCATCGACATGAAGATGTATACAAACAAATTATATTCGAGATTTTCGATTCGTACTTACGTACAAGATATACAGTACAATTAAAACATTTAGAATCATTTATTATTTCATTCGAATAAAAGTTTCTTAACATTCAGCAATGATTCTTCTATAAACTGACTGAAACTTTACAATTTCTTTTCGTTGCTTTTAATGATCAGAAGACACATACAAACGGAATGTTTTAATTTACGTGCTGTCCAAATGAAAAGCAAAGCAAAAGGGCTCCGTCTTCAACGTGTTAATACCTTGACACTACACGTTCGCGCGACCACAGCTTAAAGATTCGATCAAACTTTATTTCAGCAATGAAACAATTTTATTGAACGATCGATTAAGAAGTGGGGTGAACGAGCGAGAACCGTAGTCTGCAAGGGTGTCTAATTAAAATTCTATATCGGGCAGGATCGCGACAATCGCGATAAATGATAGACACGGCTTTCGTTATTTATGCACGTAGCCGCGTTTAATTCGATTCTGGGGCCAGTGACGGTCGGAGATCAAAGTTCTGGCCCTGTCGACGTTCCGGGACGTCGAGCCGGGGAAGGGCGCAAAATATCAAGCCGGCGCGAGGCGTAATTGAATCTGTAACGGCAACCAAATCAACGCGACGGCCAATCATTACATTATACGAGTCGCTCGCCGGCGGTCGACATTCGTTAGTCAATCGTTCGTGTAATTGTTGGCCTACAGTTGCCGGTTAAGCCGCGGCTTTGTAGTCCGGGGCGGCGAATACGCCGGAACAGCCGCAGACCGACACGCCTGAACGAAAGAAATACGACCGTTCCGCGTCAGATAAGTGCCTGCAAGACGGACAGTCCTGACAAAATCCGACCGCTATCTCTCTTTTCCATTTATAAATGGATTTGTTTCGTGGAACGCGTTGACAAGTAGAAGAATAAGTTAAAGTGCAAAAATCGTCTCAAGGATAACTAGAGAATTAACGGCTGCGGTCGAACAAAGGCTTTACTTTTAGAATTTCGTGGAAAGGTTATCGGTGTAAGAACGTTTTAAACATTCTTCAATTTCTTTAGTAAGACATCCAGTAATAAATCGTTCAAAAATAATTAATCATCTACACCTAGCATATATTTCTTTGAATCTATAGATTCATTAGATTACACTGAAAGTTTAGATGAATTCAGATACGAATTGTCAATACGGCTACGCGAAACCAATGAAAACTACAAACAAAAGACAGCGACAGACCTCTGTTGACTCCGGTGCAGTCGCGCTAGACATCAAGTCATCTCCTTACAGTGCATCTTTAATCTACGAAGGAACAAGAAAAAGATATTCTTGCGCGATAAATCGCTAGGCTCCTAATGTAAGAAAATGAGTGACAGTAGAGGTAAGAAGGTTAACAGTTCTACTCGCGTTTGAACGAAAAGTGCGAGCTGACGACAGACAATCGTGCATGTAGCTGGTAGACGCGTGAAGATTACAGAGATTACAGTCGTCCCACGGGTTGGGAGCGGCGGGAATGTAAAGTTGTTGCTTTGTTACCTCGGTAAACAGTAGGAAAGCGGTGGAAATTAGTCGTTCGGCTAGGGCCAGTGCCAAGAGTGGCACCGCGATAATTAGGTTTCACTTGGTCCGCTTTAATAATCCAGGCAACATGCAAAGTGCATTGCCGGGTATCCTTGCCGTTGGTGAGACCGTCTCGTGTGCGTGTCCGACGTTAACGCGGCCCTGGGCCGGGCACGGGCGACCGGCCCCTGGGTTTCCCCGGGTTCCTGGGTGACAAATTTTGCAAGGACAGCCAGAATTATTAATGCCTTTTCCGCGTAGAGAGACCGAGACGAGGCGAGGCGCGAAATTAGCAAGCCCGAAAGCGGTACACGCCGCGCTACAAGCGAATTCCAATCGAGATAATGAAAATTAACGACGTTAAAGCGACGTCACGCTCGTAATTAATTATCGTGGCCCGTTTGCTCGTTGTCGATCGGCTCTCTCGCCGTCGCCGGACCTTTCCACCCACGAACGGGGGACCAGCCATAATCGCGATACCAATCCTTCATTAATCCCTCGCCGAAGGACGCCCGCGTCTTGGAACTCTTCTGGGACTGTTGCGCCGCGGTTCTACAAGTTCATTTTACAAATGAGGTGATACCGAAAAACAGGTGTCCCTTCGAACGGAAATTAATCGAGTAACAGTGTTTCACTTGTGATACCACTTTGGGGACCTGGGACTTAGACTCGTCTAGCCACCGCTTGCTAATTGGAGATTTGAATTCGTATTTCGATTGGGTGTAATATTATAACTTACGAAGTGAAATGAGTTTGTCAGTTAAATATTGCTGTTTGTGTCATCATAGATTTATATATTTAAATAGATTAAAATAGAGATAAAGATGATTACGAGGTCTTCGTAACACTGTCAGTTAGAAAGAGAAAATTACCATGATATAACAGCAGCTTCTGAGATACGCAACATCTGTTAAACAAACGTTTGTCATGCCCTCCTAGCTTTCAAGGTATTGAAGGTGGTAATAGTTACTGTCCCACCCAGTATATCTCTATATATCTATATATGCATGAACCCAGCGGGTCTATGAATTATACATCACGTCGCCGGCACCCTCGCCGCGAACTTTCTTGCCGGTGGATGATCGTTCTTGCACTCACCGACCGAGATAAGACAAATAAACTCTGCTCTTAATAAACGCCTGCCCCAATGGGAGGCCGGTAACGCGAATACTTATTTGGGGAAGACCATCCGGATATCAGTGGATCAATTGTTCGTTAAATCATGCAAGTTGATTTTATCGTTTCTCTCGTTAGAGCGTCAATATTACAAGGTTCTTATACTACAAGGTTCCCTATGTGAGAACACTATCTTCCAGATCAATCTTCGATACCAGACACACGAGTTTAAAACGTACTGCACGACACTAGTCACGAAAAATTATATCTTTTATAATAGATTCCTTGAAGTACATGAATTGATTTCAAGTTCGTGGAAATTCAAGCATCCATTTGTATCTTTTCTACTAACATTGTCAAATTTGTTGTTCACCAAACAAGTGATCAAGTTTCTAAACGGTAATATATGTTTATTTTCACCTATTATTGTTCTTTAACGAAGGAATCTTTAAAAGTATCGATTAACAAAAAATACTGTATTTTCTGAGACAAATTATAAAATTCTCACACAACAACAAAAGATAAACCTCTGGCTTGAGAATGTCGGCATGTCGATTATCGGCAACTGGGCCAAAACACATTCCCTGCCATTCCGCTACTGTCTGTCTTAATCATACTTCCTCGTATATCAAACTACATTTGGCTAGTCACGCCGAGCCAAGTGTAACGAACTTTCCTTATCTCGTTTACCCCTCGCCAGATTTTCCTATCTCTCTTTTTCTTTGCCACGCCATCCACCATGCCTGAATCCTACTCGCCGATAATGCGAAATCTCATCCTCCGCGGCCCACGCGCCGCCTCGCGGACCGTTTTATGTCAAGATGCTCCGCACGGCTGTAACACTTGCGCGGAAACATCTGCGAAATTTTTATTCGAATGACTCTCACCCCTTCTGCATCCAATATTTTCAAAGAAAAATTACTTCGACCATTCGTTCAGTTTTATTCGATTTATATTCATATGAAATAACGTTCAAACTATAGAGCTATAAGAATCTTAGAGTTTCTAATCCCTCCTTTCTAATTGAATAAAAATTTACAAGCAGCAAGATTGATGAGAATCCATGAAAATTTTTGTTTTATTCACCAGAGAAATTTCTGTTCTGATTTGTTCGTTTCTAATTCCCCTGAATTAATACTTTAAAAGTGTATTTCCATAAACGCCCGCGGTCTATTCTACTCCTGAACTCCTAAACACCTGACCGGACATTTTTTATACTTATCTTCATTACACGTTTGCGATCATAGATTGTTCGCAGGTAACAAGAAATATTCTATTCACGCAACAATGATATATTTCTTGCTAAAAGTCATAAATAAAATGAGCTATCCCCTTGGTTTTTGTATGCGCGTTTAATACTTTTCCTTAATCCGCTTAACGAGCGTAACGAATGCTTTGGCTGACATTTGAAATCGTACGTCTATACATCTGGTATTCAAAAGCGGCGAGCATAGGAACACACGTGCGTGACACGTGTACACGACGGCGAGGAAAAAAGAAAATCTGTGAGAGGCAGGTTTCAATCCCAAGAATTTTGACAACATTTAAGTGCTCGATTTTATTGAAGCCGTTGAAAAGAACACAATTTCAGAAATATTGATTTAAAGAAGTGACGTAAATATTTTTATATTTTTTACCTGAACTCAGGATCATTACAATATACCTATGTATATGCACATTTCTAATATTCTATTTAATAATAAGTATAATGATTCGAAGAAGAATAAAATATATAAAAATATATACCAACATAAGTGATGTTTTATATGTTAGTAATTCGTTTCAGTTTATAATATGACGATTCTGTCAGAATTATATCCATAATTACGTATTGTGGATCTTTTGAGTCAGACTCCACATTTGTAATCGTTGCTTCCTTATGTAACAATGCTTCAACTTGAGTACCTAGTTGTACTCTAACACGTTTTGTTATTAAATTGGCAGCTTTTACAATGTTTTCTTCTATTTTGGCCCGTAGTAGATCAATACCAGTTAATTTCACAGCAGAGACAGGAAAGGTGTCTTCTGATAGATGTTTTTTAAGAGACTCCTTATCAACAACATCACATTTATTGGCTACATTAATTACTATTTTATCATCACCTATCATAGGTTTTATTGTTTTCTCAATGTGCTCAATCTGAGCAGTAATATCAGGATGACTTATATCATACACATGAACAACAATATCCTAAAAAGATTAAAGATGTTAATTGGCAATTCTTTACACATTTTGGATTAATTACTAAATGTAACAACCAACATACTGCGTGTATAGCATCTTCTAAGGTTACTTTGAACGGTTCTATTAAAGTCTCTGGTACATCCTGAATAAATCCAATAGTATCGATGTATAATACTTTTAACATATTAGGAAGGTAACCTTGATGAACTGTTGTGTCCAAAGTGGCGAATAATTTATTCTTAGGCTCCAAAGATGCATCCCCTGTTAATGCTTTTATCAATGATGTTTTGCCCGCATTTGTATAGCCAACTACAGCAATACTTGGAAAACCATAAGCCTCCCTTTGTCTCTTTATCATCTGTCTATGATCTTTTAACTTTTTTAGTGCATGTTTTAATTTTTTTTCCCTGGCCTCAAGTGTTTTCTTCTTTTTTTCATCCATGTATATCCTTCCTACATGACAAGTATGTAAATCTACCATTTTCTTTCTTATATATGGAATCTCTGCTAAGGCCACTTGCAACTTTGCTTCTCGAGTCTTCGCATGTTCACGGAAAATATGAATGACTATGGAATACCGGTCATAAATTGGTAAACCAAAAGCCTTTTGCAATTCAGCAACTTGTATAAATTTCAGTAAGTTTGTACTAACAAATATTGCTGTTACTTTTGGACAGTTTTTAATTTCTTGTTTCAAAGTTTCTAAAGCTCCACTGCCAACTAATTGTTTTTTTTGCAAACTTAATAAAGGAACAAGTTTCTTACCAGCAATAGACCAATTTGGTAATGTATTAATAAGTGCTATTGCCTCTGCTAATTGTAATTCACGGGTAGTGTTTTTTTTCTTTTCAACACCCCATTTTATATATGGTTGTAAAATAAATACACTGTGATTATCCATTGTCCCTAAGTAGATGTCAGATATTTGTTTATAAATTTCCTTCTCTTCTTCACTTTCTTCGTATCCTTCGAACTCCATATTAGAAACATGTTTTAGTCGGTAGACAAAATTTAGTTCAATGTATTGTCTTTTTCTGTGTATCAAATTTATACTATTATAAAGTTTAGATTTAATTTGTGCAATATGGAAAAGTCTTTTTAGGCACTGCATTGTTCAATATATGTTATAAAATAATTAATGAACGTTTATTAATTAGTGTATCTTTTAAACTAAGGTACAGATAATTTATGATATATTACATATCTACACAATATTATAACCTCAATATTATTTGCAAATCTTAATATATTTGTACAAAAAGTTATTCTATGTTTCAACATACATATTACCTATAAACATACAATGTTGGTATGATGAAATTAAATTTACGTATTTATTTCTAACATGAAATTAAATTTACAAATATGTAAATTCCTTAACCTTATCATGTTGATACATTTACATTAAACTAAAATGTCGACTATCAAATAACAAAAAAGAAATTATGTTACATCGCAATAATTAATATTTACAATAATAACAATATCAAGTTATACTCCTGTGTATTTTACGTATTTACAGAAAACAAAACAAGTGGTTGTGTAATTTTCAAACCAAAATAAATACAACAGGTGCTGTCTATTTTAATGGACAATAACTTTATGAGAAATGATAAGAAATAATTCTAGTTTTTTCCGCACTAAACGTTTTCAACACTATGATACAATTTTTCTTTTACTGAAATATTTGCGTTTGTTCGCGCGCGTTAAATTTAAGAATCGTAATTCGGCACAGACGTTCCTGCCACGTGACTAGTTCTTATCAGAAAGCTGACGATTGTTAGTTCCAGAAATACGAATTGCAATTTCTCGGAATCAGTCAAAATTATAGACAAGATTAATTTTAATCACGCTTAGGAAGTATGGAACCAGGAATACTGACCAGAGTTTTAAATGATTTTCTCACGACCGTCGATGGAGAATTAAGTTTGCATAAAGGAGAATACTTTCTGGTAATTTGTATATATAAACTTTATGTAAACATCTTTATATAATTCTGCCAAAAATAACTGAATTATTAAAAGCAATTAAATTGTCAACAAAATTGAAATAGGTACATAGTATTGTTGACAAACATTGGTGTTATGGAGAATCTAGAGGTAGAACAGGAAAATTTCCGTCAAGTCATTTACATAAAGTGGATATACCAGAACTACATGATTCAGAAACTTTATTCATTGCTACTGCGTCTTTCCCAGGACAAGAAGATGGAGATTTGTCTTTTGCGCAAGGTAATTTGTTTCAATATTTATAATCATAATATTTATCTACAAATAGTAATGTTATTTTAAACCACATTTTATGGAGTCAGGCGTACTTATTATTGGAACGGAAGATGTTGGATCAGGATGGTATTTAGGGCGAACAGATACAGAAAAGGGTATATTTCCTTTAACTCATGTATGGCAACTTGATTCGAACTTGTTAAAGGTATGTTTCTTAAATAAGTTTAGTTTGAAAGTTAAATTGTTCACAGTGAAAAATAATAAATAATTTATTGCTTTTAGAAAGCTTCAGAAAAGAAAACTATAAAGAAGAGAGCTAGAATAAAAACTAATTTAAAAGCACAACTTAATGATGAACTTGATCTGGTAGAAGGCGAAATGGTTACTGTCACAGCAATTCTTGATGATGGCTGGTGTTACGGAATAACAGATAATGGTAAAGAAGGAATATTTCCAGAAGGATTTGTGTCTTATATAACCGATAATGTTGAACAATTAGATGCAACCCCTGTAGTAGATAATATTACTTTTCCTACTACTGCAACATATAATGAGCCGGTATACAACAATCTTAGTGAACCAACTACGCAATCTGATATGGAAGAACCTGCACCAAATTACTATGATTTATTTCCTCAATATAAGCCAAATGTCAATACATTAGATGTAAAACCTTATGCTATAACATTGTATCCATTTAATGCTCAATTTCCAAATGAACTAAGTTTTGCAGCAGGGGAAGTGGTACATCTTATTAGACACATTGATTCAGAATGGATGGAGGGTACAATAGACAATCATAAAGGAATTTTTCCAATATCTTATATAAACATTATACTAGATTGCAATGAAACTACCTCTGATCAAAACTTTTGTAATCAGGATTTAAGTACTATGGAATACAATGCACTGGAGCCTGATACACAAGCAAAAGTAGAATATACCTTTATAGCTCAAATGGATGGGGATCTGAGTGTTACTGAAGGTGATACAGTTACAGTGATTGATATGGTCAATGCAGATTGGGTGAGCGTTGAAAACGAGCACGGAAAAATCGGTTTATGTCCAAGGGGTTATTTAAGTGCCTTGAATATAGAATCTTCAGATATTGCACAAAATATATTAGAAGACTTTGTTGTAATACGAAATGATGAAATACATCCTAAGAAAACAGAAGAGCAAAAATCTAAAAGACTTTCTGAACCCCATAGACCAGCACCACCTGTACCGGCACCGGGTAGTATCCCATTACAAAAAAATATGGTAGAAGATAAGGAATCAAGTAATGAAAACATTGACCAACAAACAGATGTTGCCAGCAATAGTGATATTGATATTAACCAAAAAAGAGCAGATCAGAGGCAAAATGTTATATCAGAATTAGTCATTACAGAAAAAGAATACGTCCGTGACTTGAAATTAACATATGAAACATTTAATTTGTATAATCCGAATTCACTTGAATCTCTGGGAATTGATGTAGCTATCCTATTTGGGAATATTTTTGAAGTGATTCAAGTTGCAGAGGAATTGTTAGATATGATACTGAAAGCAATGAAGGGATGTGACGAAGGACTGCAAACAGTTGGCCCTTGTTTTATAAAAATGGCTGAAAAATTAAAAAACGTGTATGTAAAGTATTGTGGAAATCATGAAGCTGCATTAATTTTGTTAAAAAAGGTAATGAGATTGAGAAAGGTATACGCACCTTTTACTTCGTATATTTTAAATGTGTATTATTTTTACACTTTCAGTATGAAACTAATGAAGAAATAATGACTGTGTTTAACAAAGGTATTGAGACTCTACGGTCTCAAGTAGCTTGTTTTGATATGAGTTCTATTCTCATAAAACCTGTACAAAGAATATTGAAGTATCCCCTTATCTTATATGAATTGGTAAAAGTGAGTATAATATCAATTTATTTTGAATAAAATAGTGCAATCACATAATAAGTACTTCTATGTACTAATCTATATGTAAATATGTTATCAGTATATTATAAACTTCTTTAAAACCATGTAGCTGTTTTTTAGTGTACTGATGACAATCATCCAGATAAACTTGCAGTCGAAGAAGCATGGAAGACTATGACAGCTGTAGCAAGTCATATTAATGAATATAAACGTCGAAAAGATTTGGTGTCCAAATATTTGGAGAATGATAACACTTTAATAAGGAAGGTAGCCAAACTTAGCATGCATTCTGTAGCAAAGATGTCTACAAGATTAAGTACAAGATTATCTGCAAGTTTAGGATTGACAAACGTCGCGGTTGATTTAGAGTTTGATGAACTTGAAAGACAGTTCAGATCAGTAGAAAAGTGTACATTACAGTTAGCTAAAGATGTAGAACAATGTTTCACATACTTAAGCGATGAAGCTATTTCTGGAGAAATAATATCAGACTTCTTGATTCAATACTACCAAGGAACGCCAAATATTGAAGCTAAAAGACTTAGAGAAATAAGATCCACAATATGGTCACAATTTATTCGGGAACTGAAATTATCAGAGAGAGTCAGAGCACCACTCAACTTTTTAGCAATTTTATTAGAAGGGCCTGCAGTATTAATAACAAAACGGCACGACAAGCTCCTTGATTATGATGCAGCTATTTCTAAAAGTGAAAAGTATAAAGAATCAAGAATTGTAATTATTTTATATCTACCTATTTTCTTTCTTTAAATATAGCTTAAAATTACAATATTTCCAACAGATTTTATTTCTTTATTCAATATTTGTCTAGGTACAAGATGAATTGACAACAGCAAAAAGTAATTATGAAGCTTTAACGCAACAGTTAGTAGAAGAATTACCAATTGTGATTGACGCAGCAACAAAAGTATTAGTACATTGTATTAGTGCATTCGCACATTCAAGGAAGCTTCTATGTGGGAAAATTACCAAACGCTATTTAACTTTATGCGAGGTTGTCTAGCTAAAAAAATAACTAATATTATAATTATTTACAGAAATACTAATTGAATTATTTTCATTTTTATGCGCAGACTTCAACTCAGCTATCATCTCAAGATATTTTAGAATCATTTCTGGTTAATCATAGCTTATTATGGAATCAGATAACACGTTTCGCATTTGCCGGAACAAATCCCAGAATAGATGAAGCTGAATCTACATGGTGTCCACAAAGTGAAAAACAAAAAGTCACACTAAGAAATAAATATCCTAATGATAAATTATATGTAGTCACAGAAAATATAGTGAGCACCTCTTCTTTGGATATGGGTGCAGCTCGTGGTACTCTAGTAGCAGTAATAAAGAAACAAGACCCTATGGGAGATACTAGTCGTTGGTTCGTAGATAATGGAGTTGCACAAGGATTTTTGCCAGCTAAAATGTTACAAATTCAACAAGTATCACAACTTCGTTTATCTAATGAAACATACAGCACTGCAACTACATCTGATGATACATCTATGACTGATTTAATTTGCATGGATTCTCCCGTGAAAGAACAAAAATCATCATCCTATTCTCATCTCGAAGAATTGTTAGATCTCAACGCAGAGGATAAAATAAGAAAAAATAGCCATTGCTATGGGAATGTTGAACAACTCCCTCGAATTCAACAGTATCAGAATTTGAACTATGAAGTAAGTGATGATGTATAGTTTATATTGAAATTATTATAAATATAGTCTGTATAATAATAAATTGTAATTTTTTTTCTAGTTCTATTATGCAGAGTATGACTTTTCTACAACTATTTCTGGAACATTGCCTATTACTAAAGGGCAAGCTTTAAGACTTGTTAGACCTCATGATGAAAAGGGGAACGATGAGTGGTGGCTTATGGAAGATCGTTATGGTAATAAAGGATATGTACCTAAAAATTATTTATGTGATCCACTTACATCAAAACATTGAAACAGCAAAATGAATGTGATAAGTATTATGCTATCCACTCCAACAATATCTATTATAATGCTATTGTCAATATCTCCATTCGATTTAATGCTTCTAAATGGTTTTTTATTGAATGGAGTTGGATGATAATTGAATGATTAGTGTTCTATACATTTATTAATATTAAACAATGGTACGCAAAACAATTTTAAATTAAATGTAAAAATGTTATATTGATTTTTTTTTATAGAAATGTATCATATCTCTTGCTTGTAGCACTAACGCTAACATGCTTTAAATATACATAATAACTATTTATCTTTGACAAATACATGAATCATATGTAATTAAAAAATATATATTATATACTCATCCGTTAAGAATATATATTACTTCTGTGATAATATACATATATTTTAATGGGAATGTACTTGCAATTTTATGTAAAATTTAAATATATTGTAACGCTTTAAATATACTTTTTAATCAATTTTGTAATATCTGTATAATTTATATAAATTTATGCATATGTAAATAAAAATATTGGAATCATTAAAAATGGATTATATTTTGAATATCAGATATTTTAACAATAAACAAAAGATTACCTGTCCGATCCAGTTGCATCAATAAGCGGATACGTTGGCTCAAGTTCCCGTTGACTCCTGCACAGCATATTGACAATCTTCATTGCCAATCTAAATTATATTTTTGGCAATGCATTTCTGCACAATTATTTTCCATATTGACACTTGTAACTTATTTTTAAAGACATATATTCTTCATATTTCTTGCCCACACTTTCACAATGATTCAAACTCCCCATTCGTTTAGTCAACCGGTGTCCCAAAATTCGATCTGAATTACGGAAATGATTAACGATTACATGTTTTTCTAGAACGATGATTATGCCATAAAGAAATAACGCGTTCCAATGAAACAACATTAAAACGTAGAAACTTATTTTTTATTTGAAAATTAATACACGAATTCTAACTGTGCAACGGAAAAGAAGTAAATGTACCAATGTACTTATTGAACGAGAATTGTAAGTATTTCACTTCGATTATCGAATATCGATTAGCGGGATTTACTTTAAATTTAAATCATGCGAAGTCAAATTTTCTAAATTTAAAAGAAGATCAAAATTTTTTAAATTGAATTTTTGAATTTTGAATTTTCAGTTGACATGATTATCAGTCGTATGGTATAAACAATATATAGTGTAAAGGATATTATGGGGAGCGTGCAATGAAATACACAACGATATTTCTAGTTTTAATAAAAAACGTATCTGCTGTATTATCACCGTAATATAATACAATCGCTGTCGCGATCGACAGTCGTTAGAAT